ACGAACCATCTGACGTCCAAACCAACCAATTTCATTTTCTTCAAAGTCCAAAAAAAACTCGCGGTGGTCACAGGGCTTCCGTGTTTTTTATATATTTGTGCGCAACCAACTGTAGACGGGCTGCGTTGTATCAATAAATTGAGGAGGTACCTCGCATCGTTGTCAGTGAGTCAGACACACTGTACAAAAAAAGTGAGCTCCTGATGGGCATCATACCCCCACCCAATCAGCATGACGGGCAATCCAAATGAGAGCCCTCCCTCCCTAAACTTCGCAACCTCTAAAAGCTTCTCACTGTCGTAATTTCCTCTTACCATAGACCTAATCGCCTAGGTTTGAAGCATTTATATAAAGCAGCAATTGAAGTCCCACGTCCCACGTGGCAGACAATCCAATCTCAACGAGTTATAATATCGGCAGACGCCCATCAGAAATTTTGCAAAACGTTTCGCTAAGTTCATGGTAAACAACCGCTAAAAACTAAATACACTATAGGAATTAGGACTAGGCGCCAAGCGTGCGAGAACCAGCAGTGCCATACGTGTGATAAATTATCATCTACTTCGGCACCCGAGAAAAGTCAATAAGGCGCTGAGTTCGAAAAAGTTAAATGTGATATGCCTGTAAAATGATGGGACGGCTAACACTTTCTCGGGAAGAAGCGAGACCAGTGCATTAAACGCCAATGTATGTGCGTTAAAATAGCATTTTCATCAGCTCCTCTTTACATTTTAAAACGTGAATTCCTGATGCCCTTGAACTTCCGGGCTGCAAACAACAAAGAAAGCCCTCATTGAAATTTATTTGTTTTTTGGACAGGCAAAGTACTGTTGCCGTGTTTGGGGCAAGGTGATGAAAAAGCGGAAAATATACGTAAAATGTTCCCTATCTTTCAACTGTACTAAAAAATGGTTTTATTTTTTAAAAACCCCATATGAGGGACTCACTATGAACCTTCTTTCTTTCAGCAAATTCCACTTTTATAACCCATCCTTTACAAAGTAAGACAAACAGAGGAGCAAAAAGTAAAAGCAAGTAGTAAACACTGAAAAACGGCTCCTTCTGACCAAAGCAAATAGAATAGTAATTGCAAGTACAAAGTTAAAAAGAAAATGGCATTCATTTTTGCATATTACAGAAATGTTAAGATTTTTTAAAGAAAAAATATATCTGTCACAAGCAAAACAAGTAAAAAATGGCTTCAGTTGACTTCACTTGACTGCCCTACCAAATCAGAATAACAAGTTTGCATAACATATGTTAAAACTCTCAAATGCACTAATCCAACTAGCGTCAACAACTGTCTGAGCGACCACTTTGACCAAACGAACAAATGCATACGCATTAAAGAAGAGAAATGAATTTTGCAAATTAAAAAACGGGTTGAATCAATCCAAAATTCTATAAAATAAACCACAGTTCTACAGAATGTACTCCGCACTTCCGTGCTTCGATCACCGGTTCAAGCTGTCATCTTTGGCCATGACTAGTCCATAGTTAAAGCTTAAATGCTCCATAAGCCTTTCTAGTACACACGAGTTTGCCATTCCTTCACTGACTTGGCAACTAGAAACCCATTCAAAAAATTCAACTTGTATCGTTTGGTCCCCACTTTCGCTCTTTCTATAGCTGAAAAAATAATCTTTAGTGTGTCCGGCAAGTCGCCTAAATCTGTTCGTTGATTGCTCCTGAAAGATCCCCGAAGATGAACTAAATATTCAGTATCAAAGATGCCACTCTTCCTTTTTTTATCAGGAAGTCTATTCCCGAGCAACTTTCGTCCCTTTCGCATACAAGAGCAAAAAGAGAACTTTCCAACATCACACTGAATAGAACCACAAAAAATAAAGTGAAAACAAAATGCTAAAAAAATCAGGTTTTGCAACGCCTACGCCAAGAATAGTATAATGCAAAATCTTCCGTTTCCTCAAGATCTGACTGACCAGTCAGGTACTCTTAAGCTAGCTGAAAAATCTCGCCAAAATGGCAAATAACCCCAAACACGCAATGAGGAAATTTCAATAAAGTTATATGCGCTATGCAAAAATATCATTTGAAAAGAATTTGTCATCCATTTCCTTTCTGCTCTCCCTCTTAGCTGTATTTTTCTTCTTTCTCCTAATGAAGTTGTTCTACTGGCTTTGCCTCCTCCCAAAAACGAAAGCGAAAGAGAGACTCCAACATTCATGGAGAAACAACCCTAAGTGACACCAAAAAATTAAATTCTTCTCCTGTCGCAGTATTGACTAAACACTTACGCTGACTCCAGATGCTTATTAAGGCCCCCAATTAGTTTTTTGACCTCTGCATTAAATTCAATAACACAGCGATGATTTATCCGGCCATCCTAGAATACTGAAATTAAGCGTAAAAAACCCTAAAACTTTCCTTCCTTTTCTTAAAAACCTTAAAATACTTCAGGATATCTCCTCCTTTTGGTTTTTATTTTAAAACTTCACAAATGTTTTCTAAATTTGAATAACTTTAAAGCCTACGACCAAAATGCTTCACCGAATTTATGACAAGCTCAGCAATTCTTCAATCAATAAATGCTTACGGGAGGAGTTTCTAGTACGACAAGACGAGGCATTTCTGCATGTCCGAACAAACGTGTGCAGTCACAAGAACCACCAGAACAATGACAAGGATCAAGGAGGTTAGGGTCAGTACGAGTAGATTTCGCAGAATACCACTGCCAGAAAAGGTAATAGAGTTGTTCCTGAAATAGACTGAAAGTAATTTCGCTCCCAATTTTTTAAAATTTATCCTTAAAATTAGTCAACTTTGAGAGAAAAAAGCAGTCAAAGAAAAGCACAGCCAAATAGACGAAGGAAAAAGCGTGAAAAGAACAATGAGTCTTTTCCCACTTTTTATGAAACAAACGTGCGTTTGACAACCACCATTAATTAAACAAGTGGATGGGAAACTGTTAGGGTTGTAACTATTTGAAAAACCTCACCCAAAACTTGAGAGATATTAAGGTTGCGGAGTGACTTTTAAGTAAACTAAAAACACGGGTAAGTTTTTTGGTGCTCCTCCTAACACTCAGTATGATCAAAGAAAAAAAATTAGTAACTCTAACTACTGAGAAGATGCCCAATTTCGTATAAAAATAAATACCGCAAAACACTTTATCACTTCCAAAAACTGTCCCGCAGTTTGACGCTTTCTTAACCAATCATTTCCAACTGCTATAAGAATGCAAAGGCTCTGCACTTCCATTGTTACACTTCGTATTGCTCGTTGGAGGAAGCTGTAAATGGTCTTACCAATGTTTTTTTTAGGAATAATGGCAGTTATTCAAAATAAACGCAATTATTGTTTAAAATAAGAGAATTTAAACCACTTATTAACCTGGGAATCAAATGCTTCTCAGAGACTCTAGTGAGTTTCGTTCTCGGGTATAGCCTTGGAACTTCTAGAGGACTGGCCGAGATTTCAAAAGCTTTTTCATCGAAAACATTAAAAAATGAATCCACAATTAACCTAAACATAGAGACTTAATTATAAAAAATACTTCTGTCAAGTAAAAAAACTGCAAGTTACGTAACTCAGCCTGTTTCAAAAAGAATTTTCAATCAGTCAGCAGTATTTCCTTTAAAAATACTACTCAAGCTGCATTCAAAACAAATTTGTAAAGAAAGAGCGCATTTTCAAAGTTCCTTTCTGATTCCTTTTGTCTGTGGCCTAAAGCAAGTAACACTGGGAAGTTCATTTTAGGTTCTCAATCCCTTAAGAAATTTTGATCTTTCAAAATACAAAATGAAGAGCATTTTTCTGTCCATCACCAACTATAAGTAACTTCATTCACAGCGAACGAACTGATCCCTGGCAGTTTTTGATATTAATAATAGCGAGTCCACAATACTACTTCACCCCTGCCTCTCAAAATATTACTTTGCGAAATAAAGACCTCAAACAGTAGAGAATACACAACAAAAATTCCTATCAATACGTCACATCCCACAAGTAACTCGGAAGTAGACTCCCTCAAAAAACAAACTCCAAAAGTTTAATCCCACCGTGCGCAACAGAACCTGGCGCAATTTTGGTGTAAATACAGTTTTGCCAGCACGCAAATAAGCCTACTTACCACCTCGATGTGAACCATTCCTGAAGATTGCCACTGGAGCACCTATTCCAAAGAAAAGAGTGAATGAAATTATCTTCTTCCTTTTCATCAGCGTTTCTTAACTGGAAAACTCTGTGGTAAATGACATATTATGAGCACGAAAAATAGTTAAGGAACTCCAGTAGAAGAAAACTAAATGTACCTGATACAGGTGCGGCAGTAGAGTGCGACGGAATTTCCGGTTATTTAGTTTTAAAACTGCCTAAAACTGCAAATCATTTTAAAATGACGTTACAACACATTAACATTATGGTACAACACGTTCCTAAAATTAAAAAAAGCGTAGCAGCATCTATACTACTCTGCGTCTAAAAAAACACTCCAAATTCTATTATTAAAAACTAATTTAAAATCCAAACTATGTTTTTTTTTCAACGGCAATGCAAAATTGTCTTGATAATTAGTCAATGTGAAGGAAATAATGCTAAATAATCTCTAAAATCTTTAACCAAAATCAATTTTCAAACTTACTTCTTTATATTTGAAAAGAGCAGTCTGATTGATTTAAATAGAGAATAACTACAATTGTAACATCAATTGATAAAAGATTTTCGTTTAAACACCTCTGAACCTTTTGAATAAACTTACAGTCCCAAGATCTGATTTTGTACTTTCCACAGAAGAGTCGTATTTTTTTGAGATATACTTGCACCTCACCTCATCGAGAAACCGCAATCTCCTAGAGTAATATTTAGGAAATAAAACAAATTAGTATATAGTGAACTTAAAACCGATAGAAATTACCCCTTCTTTCGTACCAAAAAAGCTAATGTAAAACAGTTAGCAGACTTTACAAGCAGCCATTTATTCTCAACGGCATTGCACAATAAACTTTTTTCATCCTTCTCCTTATAATGTTCTTTCTCCATAAATAAAAAGTCACTACTACGAAACAGGTGGAAAGAACAATGCGTTATTTATTTTTCGGTAGGGAATACACTTCAAGTCAGACTTTTTGCTTAACGGACCCGCTCAACCTCCGGTAAGGGTAATGATGAGCTGGTAAGTTGACGCAAAAAAAGCAAGATGTAGCAGTAAAAGTTGCACCGATATGCTGTTCCACCAACCGCGTATCCAGACTATCAACTTAGTATCCGAAAAATTTCAAGATCTCTGGTAAAATAATCAAGCGTTGTGACATAATCTTTTAACTCAATAAAATTAGAAATTCTCTGGTCATGCATTTTTGTTAGTTTCGACCCACCCCTGCTTTTATAATTCACCTACCCGTCGATGTCCCGTCCTAAAGTTTACAGAAATTCAAATAAGAAGTTCCACAAAAAAAACATTTCCCAGAAAAAACTGTGAGCCCAATCTTTTAATCCCGTTTGGAAATAAGTTTCATTAATTTTGTTGATTGTGAAGTGGCCAAAATCCTAAATAAAAGGTATCTCCTTCAAAGCAGCTCCAAATAAGCAAAAATAGTGAATCAATCTCCTTAGCGGAGTACAAATCTTACTATGCAACAAGAAATGACACAAATTGGAAAATTAATCGATTTTACGTAGTATGCCTCTTCTTGTAGCAACGGTTTTGAACTAGATATTTACTCAAAAATTCAGGTTCCCTTACAACAAGACTAGTTTCCTTTTTGATTTTCTATAAACTTTAAGAAAATTCTTTCAAACTTCAACTTCTACTTTCTTCTTCTTCATAACCATTCTAGACCTTTTTTCCTTCATATTCCAACCAGTAAAAAAAATGAACAACCTTTACTTCATAAAATTAGAGACGCTCATTAAAGCATATGTGTAAATTTCCAAAGCGTCTTAAACTACTTTTATTATTTCCTAGACCTGTCTAGTGATGCACGGAACTTCAAATTTCTGCTTCAAATTGACAAGAAAAATCCCTTTAAACATTCAGAACTTTGCTAACCCTCTAGCCCAACAAATCAACAAAATGAGTTTGGTTTTTTTTTTTTTTAAGAAAAATGAAGCTAAAAAGATCACTTTTCACCTAAATAAGGAAAAAAAAGAAAAAAAAAGAAAAAAATACTCCAGACATGAAGAAAAACTGTAATGAACTTGCAGCATGACTGCAAATTGATATCATAGCAGCTCTGAGACATGACAATCATAGTAAACAGTACAAATACTTAATAATTAAAAATTTAAACATATTTACCGTTTCTGCTCTGGATTTGCAACACTTGTTGAAGCGGCCGTTCCCGCAACTCCATGACAAATATTTTTTCGGAGAATACCTTTCAACGGAGAATCCAGTTCTCTGCCCTCACATTTACGTTTTTTGATTTTCGCAAATGAAAGATTTTCATAACGTGCACTGTTTGGGATGCTCCTAAAAAAGCATGCTTGAACAATGACAGCTACACACTGCAGAAATATAAACCTGTTTGCCAAAGAAGTCAACAGGTAAAAATTCAAATTTACAAGAATAATGTCACCTCAGACCAAACATCTCAAAAATTTAATCAAAAGGAATTGCCCCTCCACAATTATCAGCGAAACCGTTAAGTGTAAATGTTAAATTGAACTTTTACTTTTTGAAATCTTTGATTTTGACAGTAATTTCTCATACATACTTGTCAAGTCTGATGAGCAACTTACCGGGAAGGAGATAACCCTTCCTCGTCAGATTTTGGCAAGTCTCCAAAACCCTTAACCTGAAAAACAAGCTTAAGCTAAATTTTTGACAAAAAATGGTTCAAAACGCCATAACACCAACTTCACCGAAATAAATCAGCAAAAGAGTTATAGAAAATCCCCTAACATTAAGTAAAAAGTGTTTAAAGAAGATAAACTACACTAACCCTTGATATAGAGCCACAATCTCGTTCATTTTTTATACCTGATGACGCAGATACCGATGAACAGGCAATTTCAGAACTAATACTTCCCCGCTTCTGTGAAGTTTCCCTAACCCGTAACTCTGAAATAAAACTGGAACTGTCGCAAAAACAATACAAAGCATTGATGTAATGAAAGAGGAAGAGCTGTTTTACCTAAGAATACACTTTTAAAGAAAAAGTATACGGCCATCGTCGTATTGGTCACCCTAGCTACCCCTTTTTAGACTGTAATTACCAAAAGGTGAGGAATTAATAGAGAAACTTCGCGTCCCTTCCTCAAATTCGAAGTCTCAAAAACAGAAATATAGGGCAGTTAACCTTAAATAAAACGAAAATTACTATCTCCCTTAGTTTAAAAGATGGAAATTACAATATACGTTAAAAATAAAGATACACGCCTTCTGCCCCGATAGCTCTGAAAAAAAAACTCCGTTTTTTAGCCGATAACAAAAATCCATGCATTTCATTGACTGCTTTTTCTCTTCTCTCTATCATCCAAATGTTGCATCGACAGTGTTTCAAAACTGACAATAAGCAGAAGCTGATTTTTTCTTTCCCGCGTAGTTCTTAGCCGCAGTAGTCCTTCGATTCATTTATTTCTTGACTCAAATCTTGAATCTACTTGCGAAAGAGCAGCAAAAAACGTGCACAAAAACTGCATCAATCGCAGATTATAATCTACAGAAAGTATGAGACTTTTACTTTAAATTTTTAAGATACAAGAATGCATTTATGTATAAAGTGTCACATGATGCCCCCAACTACGCATTTCGCATGAAACAATCCAACCATATCAAAGATGAGAAATTAGGAGACAAAACTTCATTACCCAATTAGAAAAAAAGAATATCTTTCCTATCGATCTATTTTATAATCTCTGGGTACTCATTACTGGCAGAAATACCCACATTTAGTTCTACCCGTCGATGAAAAAGTCACAGAAAAAACTTTTGAAACCAAGTCTCACCCTTTACGTCTTCAGAAGGTGATGCAAAAGACTCCATGTTACTAACATTTGGAGCTATTAGACGTATTTTTTTGGGAATCTCAGAAGAGCGATCCCCAAATGCCAGTAAGCCAGAAAGACCCTCAAAAGGATTCTCTAAAACAAATTCATCATCGACATGCATAAAAACAGAGCTGGATGACTCGTCGCAAGAAACTGCTGGTTTCGAGGGGCCCTCCGAAGATACACAAACAGCCGGGAAAGAAACTGCAGTAATAACAGGTTCCCTAACAGCAATGTCATTTTGTTTTCTACTTGCAGCGTACCTAAGTTTATCCAGTTGTAAGTCGTCTTTGTATCTATATAGCTGCAATAAAAAATTTAAGGTAAAAACTACTCTTTTTAAAGCAGTTGCTTTTAGTGAAAAAAAACGCCATTATTAATAGACGACTGCTGACAAGCATGCAAAAATATAAAAAGTGCCAACCTGCTGTATTTTACGTCTTTCTTCAAAATCTTTTATGACAAGGTCCCGTGGGAGAAAAGACGTTTCCAAAGCTTTCTTCAACATTTCTGATTCCTCCCATTCTCTCCTCCCATCAGCCTCCAATTGCATTTTTTCGTATTTCATTTCGACCGCCTTTAACCTCTGTATAAAAGAAAATCTTATTGTAGCAGACAGTTCTAAACTAAAATGTTAAGGCATCTCATTAGAGCATTTATTACTGAAAGGTGCGATGTCCAAAAATGACTCTTATGCTATTCGACTAACACTTAAGTTTTTCCTGTTTCGAAATGCCTCCACTTCTCCACTATTATAACAGTCAATAGAATCATCGTCGCGAAGACGCTCTACAGCAATATCCATTAGTGAGATGATAATATCAGTGCAACTCAAAATGTCTTGGCTGTCCTCCACAGACTTAACCAGGTTAGCAAAGAGCTCACCCGAATCATAACCTAAATTATTAAAATTTTCTATTAGGTGAGTAGGAAAAAAACCACAACGAGATCAGGAGAAAACCAATAGAAATCCATCGTACTGTTTTCACGTGCCAGTTTGACAGCCTGACGCATAACACACAACAGCGTATCTTTGTGCTGGCTAAGAATATCGGCTTTTTTCATCCTGCCTTGTTTGCACTTTGATACATTGTCTTCAATAATCGACAGCAATTTGCCTAAAGTTAGTTGCGACTATGTCGCGGTCAATCAATTGTGTGAGTTTAAATATGCTTAAAATGGAGAATAAAAAAAGCAAACCATTATCAATCGGTTGAAAATACGGTACTTTCAATTGGTCAGTCGAACGCATCAATCTCCTTTCTGAAACTTCTGGTTTATCACTGAAAATTCTGAAAATAACAGAATTTTTAAAATGAATCTTTTGATGCACTCAATTCTGGAAGAACAACAAGTTTACTACAACGCATTATCTCGTAGTGTTGTAATTCTGAGCTTTCTGAACCGTCCGAACAAGATACTTCACCAACACCGTCTAGTAACAAATTCAACGCACTTCGTGCGTTTATTTTTACTTAAAACTTAAACTAGCATTTAACACTAAAAAAATTTTTCAAGTCAGCAGATTCCTGAAAAAAACTAAATGCTAAAAGATGTCAAAGTTCCAGAGAAAATTTAAATATTTTTTAAAAACTTTTCCTATTCTTTGCCTTTGCAAATTTCAAGTAACCCTCTGATGGTGACACCAAATATGGAACTGAAACCAAGAGCCAACAGCAGATGAAGAATCGATGGGAAGAGAGAAATTGGGAAGAAGAACGAAAAATGAATTGAAGGATGCCTTAAGATGACAAAAACCAAAAATTTTGCAAAACACGATCTTTCTGTCGGTAAGACAAGGTGCTTCTCCTCAATACTACGAAACTGAAGAATTACTTCACGGCATGAGTAGAATGCAGTAAATTTAGAACGAAGAAACTACGTACTCATGGTCACTCACACCACTGATCTCTTCTTCCCGCTCGTCATCACTTGACTCCAAGATCTCACGTAATTGTGGATGAAGGACATCCAGGGCACAAGTTTCAGCCTTGAAACTAGCAAAGATAAACGAGAAAAAGCTTTTTAACGTGCAACAATAATGACTTACCATGGGAAGCCAGGTGTAATCAAAAAACTACGTGATGCCTCCAAAATTTGTTAGTTTCTTTTCATCAAATTCAATCCAACCTGAAAAGCTTCAGATTATTTAGATTACAGCATGAAAACTTCTTACCAGGTAACAGTTACCGAAGTGAGTCGTTCCAGTTTTGGTAAATTCATCAAAGTTTACAAACTGTAAGATCATATACTACCGAAAATAACACGCAAAACAGATGTAATAAAAATAGTGTCGTAGCCGTAGAAAAAATCTCATTATAAGACATAAATCAATTGGCTATCGAAAAAGCGCGACAGAAAAATCATTTCGCGAAACAACAAACTAATTACATACAAAAGCAGTAACAAACAGTAATATATTAAGTAAAAAACGTCAAACACCTGAGTACGCAATAAAAACAACACAAAAAAGCATACCACCATGAACATTCTAGGTCGCACCGTTAAGCAACTCACCTCCATAAAAAAAAAAAAAAAAAAAAAAAAAAAAAAAAA